GCAGGGGATAGGATGGGAGGGCAGCAGGCAGCCCAGCCTCAAGCATCAAGTTTGGGACTGAGAGGGGTTATTCATGTGCAACCAGCAAAACAAACTGCTTAAGGTTACTGAGACAAAAACTATTTGAGTCCAACAACCACAGAAAAGGTCTGATGGTCTCTGAATCAATCACTCCTCTCTGTAATCGTCTGTAACAATGAATTAGTATGCCTCGTCTCCAATCCACAAACTAAAAAAAATCCACAAACTAGCTGATTACTGTGAGAGGAAACACAGTGACTGCTCCGGATAAATCAGTGGCTTAATTTATCCGAAAAACATCATGGGTTTAACATTGTTTGCCATGCAACATTAGAAAAACAATTTATTTACATAGTTAACATGGCGTATACGAGTCAGAGCAGTGGTTTTGTGGTTCGTGCAGGTGGTCTGACAAAATGAGCCATGGTGCTTTAGATGAATGTTCAAATTTGGTTCCCTTTTGTTGTCCTGCCAACACAACACTGCACATTTTGATATGATACACTAATAACTCTGGCTTAATAATGAATTGCAGAATTAATATGAATAGAGTAAAACAGTCTGACCTCTAAAAGCACATATTAAAAAAAAACACATGACTTCCTGTCTTCAAAAAATATCTCAACAGATATACCTACTACAAACACCTTGGGTGTTTTGACTCTGAACCGTAACACCCTCCTGTTTCTGGTAGTGCAGTGCAGTGCAGTTGCAGTGGTAGCCAATTTACTGCCCATCTTCTCCTCCTGGATCCCAGCTTTGCTCCTCTCTCCAGTTCCGAAACCAACAAGGGGCTCTTTCTGCTGCCTCCCCCATCCTGCAGACTGCTATCTTCCTCTCCTTCCCTGTTAGTCCAATTTTTGTGAATATTCTCCATACCGACTGGGCTGGGAATCCTCTATAGCCAACCTCGACTGGAAATAGCCATGCCTGCCACCCTTTCTCACGACAGTCTTGCAAAAGATCCTGACATTTTGCACTCTTCCTTTAAGGCTTGGTGGCATCCCATTCTTCCCACAGAACTGGTTCAATCAAGACAACCTTCTTTGCCTTGTCAGATCACAGCACCACATCTGGCCTTAGGGTTGCCTGGACTACTTGGGGGAACTGCAATCTTCCTTCCAGATCTACTCTCATCTCCCATGCCTGGGCCTTTTGTAATACATTGTTTGTTTTTGCTATAGTTTGTGGCTTTTCACCTTCTCTCACAAACTAAATCATTGATGTTGGTGTATGGTATGTTTGCCATTTTTCTTGCATCTTTCCTGCTCCAGGGAATTAGCTAGTGTTCTGAGCATGATGGTGTCATGGCACTATCCGTATCTTTCTTGGGTAGGTGCTGTTCTACACCCTGACAAAGCTTGCATAGTGGGTCCTCCCTCAGACCCCACTTGTGCAAATTTGTTGGGGTTGGTAGTGTGTCATACACTGACTGCAGCAGGAAAGAAATGCGAAAAGGTTCAAGCCTCCACAGATCTGCCCATGTGATTTTCTTTTTTGGAAGATCCCATTTGGTCCAGGCTCCCTGTGATGCCAGCTCTACAGCTCTTGAATGTTGCCCTTCCTCTTCCAGGTTCCGTACTTCCTCCTGGATCATGGCCCTCCTCTCCTTAGTGTTTGCCTTCCCCCACTGCTGGAAATGGGAAGTTTTTAAGGCCCTGTCTCCCTGTGTATGGCATTCCAACTTTCAGCTTGGGTGACAGTGGTGTCGGGAACTGATTTCCCAAAAATTAAATTTGTTTAATTTTCATTAATTAAAAGATAAATTAAATGAATGTTTTATGCCTTAAAAATGTAAATACACAACACAGAATTTCTGAGGGAAAAAAATCATAAGGCTATTGTAAGAATAAATGAAACTTGTTTTATGCTTTCAAATAATTAGACATGCTAAAAACACAGAATTTGGTAATAATAAAACATAAGGTTGGAAAAAATAAAAATTTGGGCCCTAAACATGTAATTTTTGTTAGACTTTTAATAAATTTATGTTAAACTGTTTAAGTTTCATGATTTTAATTAAATAGACATGCTTTTTGATTAATAAAATGTAATTTAACCATTACCAACGGAATTCGTTTTCAGTTCGTTTAGCCCTCCCTGGCTCGGTTGGAGGAGGTGGGCCAGAGCACGCGGTTCAGTTATACATAGATCAGTGATTGTGAGCGCTAACCGCGCCGGAGTGCGGAACTCCACTTGCGAACTGATCTCGGCATAACACTTGCATGTCTGACTTGTTCATGCTGAGAGTCTCTGTATGTAATTACTACTCTGCATTTAGCCACCTTGTATTCCTCCACCACGGATGACAGGGGTAGTTGAAGCTGTCCTGACCTTATGTAGAGACCTACTGCAGTGAAATTTGGAGGGATTCCCATCCAACTTTGAAGGTACTTGTTGATCTTTCTCTCCACTCCTTCCAGACTTATCATAGGGATCTCATACACAGTCAACAGCCACATAAGTCTCGACAGCAGTCCACGTTGGTATATCCATGCTTTGAATTTCCCTGGAAGTCCTAATTTTTCAACCCTCCTCAGCCATTCCTATGTATGCTTTTCAGTGCAGGTGATGTTATTACTGTCAGATTTATTAAAGGGGTCCTATTATGCTTTTTCACTTTTTTAATTTTAGTCAGTGTGTATGTTTGGGCATAAAAAAGATCTAGAAAGTTACAAATCTCAAAGTCCACTCCAAAGGGAGATATTTAGTTTTTAAAAAATCCCTTTTCAAGAACTACAACGAACGGCTCGTTTGGACTACAGCGTTTGTTTTCCGGGCTTTGTGATATCACAAAGCGGCCCATTAGAATATCATTAAAAATAATTCCCGCCTACAGAAATTTGAATGGTTGGGGGGTGGGGAGGGGTGAGGTTGTGGTTAGAACGCTTGGTTGAGTGAGTGCATCAGACGAGACGATGAAGAAGAAGTGCTGCTGCAGAGTTAGTGCATCAGAGAAAACGAAGAAGAAGAGCTGCTGTGCTGTAGCTTCAAATTTTCGGCATGTCTAGAACAATTCTTACAAGTACAACACGACGTAGCTGGGCATCGCGGACAGACACCGAACGGCGCCGCCGGTGTGCCTACACTCATGGAAAATAATGTATTTGAATTTTAAAGATGTAGCGCTACGCTGCGCTTCTCGTCTGGTGCGCGACCGCCTGAAACGCTGTTTTTTTCAACTCCATGCCCAAATGTCTTTGTTTGGGCTTCCGAAAGCGGATGATGTCAGGAAACAGTGGTTGCAATTTATTTTTTAATTCTGTCCCTGAGCATTATAACCCCAATTTGCTATTGTGTGCTGTGCATTTTACTGAGGACAGCTTCCACAACATGAGGGAGTACAGTGCCTGCTGGATTCGCCAAAAAGCTTTTGTTGAAAGACGGAGCAAGGGGTGTGGCAGTACTGAAACACCGTCTAAGCTGTTCGCCAACTGGGACAGCTAACCAATCACAACACATTTTGTTTTTTGGAAGGCGGACCTTCGTCAAAGCTGGAACTAACCGAGCTGTTTGTGCAAGGATGGGGAGAAAGGTATTTTAATAATGTAAATTATGTGAAAAATAATGCGTTTTTCGAACCACCAAGCATGAGAGCATGTTCTAGTACACCCTCAAAACAAAATCAAGACTTTGTAAAAGAGCATAATAGGACCCCTTTAATTGCATTCATTTATTAATAACTTGACATTTTTAAATAAGGCGTAGCTAGTTTTCCCAGATGTCCCAGATATTTCATGCATGACCACAAGAATCCTAAAAAAGGCAACAAAGTTTGAGAAATCCCCTTCCTCCACAGCATGATGTAATATGCACAACCATAAGCATAATACGACTGTGAAAAACCTACTTCTTAGTATCGCTGTTTAACATCACTGCTGTGTGAGTGAAACTGTATTATCCGGTCTCTTGAGTGACACCCCTATTTCTCTGCAACAGATAATGGCTCATCCCTCTATATATTTACAATACTACTTCAGTGTAGATCCTTGTCAATCCTGTAGGCCACCTTGAACATAAATGGGTCACAGAAATTCTGCACTTGTGCCAAAGTCCTCTGACAGGACTAGGAATGCGTGGAATGGGAAATGGAATAGAAGAGTGTTACAAGAAGAGGTAAGGGCACACAAGCACCTGCCATCATACTCCATAATCATTTCCAGTAAACAAAAGCAATTCACTTAAAAAGCTCATTTTTGGGTTGGAAGATTGAAATAAATAAGTGACAATCATACAAAAAATGGCATATGCAGCAATTTCCCTGTCACCTTCTCTTCCACATGGTACTCTAACCATTCTTTAGTCACCCTGGATAAACTGTAACTCCAACCATGTGGATAAACATCATGTGTGCTCCACAGCTCTGAGAAAGCCACTCAAGCCCTAAGAGAGCTTTGATTTGCCCAGCAGGATGCAAGTGTTCTTCAGCAGATGGGATAGACACTTCACACAATCAGAGCAGTTTGCTGTCTCCCGGCTCAGAGCTGTCCTTTGCACTCAGTAATTGAGTGATGTGTGAGAGTTAGGCAGAGATCACAGCCTTACAGCTGTGCAAAGACAATCCTTTAACAACCATCAGATAAAACCTCTAAACACAATAGACTGTGCAATGTGTGGTAATGGGCACACACATGGTTAGCAGCCATAGACACAATACACACATATATATATTTTTTTTTTTGCTATTACAGTGTGTTTACTCTGAGATAGCAGTGTTTATTCAATTTGCACACTAAAAAGCTTGATTGTTTTGATCTTTGGGTAGATGGCAAAAGAATATGATGTGGAGCCAATAAATTCCTATTTTCAATATCACACTGACCTTTAATATCAGCTTTTTGTATTCTTATTTCTTAGACTCATTACTTGGAAAGAAAACCATAAAATGGCATTTGGTTAGAACTTTAACCCTGGATGGTTGAATAAAATCTAAACAATTCAAACACATTTGTATATGTAAATTGTATTTTGTACCTTACCTTTCCTGAACTTCCTGCTCCAACATCAACAGGCAGAACACTGTTAGGAGAGAAAGAGAGAGATTTCGTTAAGTAAAATGGAATGAATAATATGAATAGTACATAAACTGACAACTTTTATTATGACAAGACCCTCTGCAATACTTGTTTCTAAAAGGGTCAATCTCAATGAGTCATTAAGTAGTTAGATATTTAACTGTTGTCCATGGCACCATACTTTCACATCTCTCTTATCACTTCATGGGCTCTGTTTTCGTATCAACAAAAGAATAGCTAATTGGCCACATTGAATCAAAAAGGTTAGTCAACGGGAGAAAAATGTAACTCAGAATGGAGATTAATAATTAATATTGTAATACTAGTACAGTGTCATCTCTTTGCTAAGTAAATTCGTTTTCTATATTATTATAGACAATTTTTCGTAGGAGAAACTTTATGTGCAGTAAGATTTCAAATCAATATTTCATGTACAAGTAGCAATTTATTTGGCAAGTACCTAATAATACGTTTTTATGCTTCATATTAGGGTCTTGATCACCCTGAATGGGTTTATTCTTTGATGGCCAACTGGCTTTACACTGTACCTTACTTAATATTTGATTTCCATGTCATGAGACAGGTACTTGTATAGTGGATACAAAAGAAAATCTGGATAACAGTAATCAAAATGCAACTTAGAAGACGAGATTAATGAAGCGTGGAACTAAAAGGCACCTTGCCGGATTTCCATGGCAGCACTTTAGAAATGAGCACACCCTCCAGAGATCCTAATCAGCCCATTTTCATTTGGGCCATTGAGAGAGCAAGCGAGACAAGATCCCTGCTGTGAGTCATAGTGCTACTGTCATACCACTAGCATGTCATACATGCATTTCAACCATCACTGCCTAAGGCACATCATCTAACAGCAGCATCTGCATCTAGCTTTAAAATCATCTCCCTGCTAAATTTAGAAACACTCTTTCAAACCCACTATTTGTATGACTGGATTTACTGACCTGAAAATAATTTAATAAAAGAGTGAGACCACAGCCGAATTTCAGAGGAATACTGAAATATTGCATAAAGTGAAGCTATTACGGTAATGAAAAGAAACAAATTGATTTTCCACACAATTGTCTAAATTACTGTACATTAGGTAAGGGATCATTAAACATTATTTTATTTCATAATCACCTATTAAAATGAGTGACTCTTGAAGTAGATTTCAGCATGCAGAAGGAAATAGTCACATTGATTGTTATTTCACCTCCTAATATCACAAATTGCAACCTTTTTTCCACCAAGTATCACTATATTACAGTGCTTTTTTATATTTTTAACAAAAAGAAAGTGAATGAAAGAGAAGAAAGCAACTCAAATCTAAGGTAATCAGCATTTATAGGATATAGGTTATACAGTAGATTTCAGAAAATATGAATCAAACATTTTATTAAAATTCTTCCAAAACCACATTACATTATGTGGTCTATGCCGTCGACATTAATTTTATGGCTCTATACTCTCATTGAATGTCAATAATTGTCTGTCTTTATGTCATTTATTTCTCCTAAGGAATTTAGGGGAAACATCCGAGAAAAAGTTAATACTATCGCTCTATCAAAACATGGCAATTTTTTTCAGCCAAAACAGCCCAACACATCAACGTTGGCCAATAGTGTAATAGTTTGCAAATGGTGATACAGTTCCATTTTGGTGCCATATGACTGACATACTTCGGCATTAAATGAATCACTGAGAACCTGAGCTCTGAAAGAAAGAGCTCAAGTGAGAACCCCGAGTCTGCTGAGCTCTTAAAGAAAAACTAAAATTTCCCCTTTTGGAAAAAGTGTATTGAATCTTCACCTCTGGGTGTTGCTATTGGCTGAGCTCTCAGCGATCTGTGCACTGGGAATCCATTTGGTCTCATCCACCACAGTGCGCGCGTGAGGCAGCCGCCCCACATCCTTTATGGTCATCAGCATGTGGCAGGAATTCTTCAAGATCTGCACTGCCTCGTTATGAGAAATGCTCCGGAAACTACGTCCATTGACCTCCAGAATCTGATCCCCTACCTACAAAGGTGGAGACAGAGAGAGACTTTAGAGATCTGACACTCCAAAAGAGAAAAAATTAAATGCAACAATGCCTGGCACAACAACACAGAGCCCACGCACCACAGGAACCTGTTTGAAAGAGCTGACAGCAAATTCACACATAGATTTCAATTAAGCCTGATAACTGATAAATAAGATGTCCCTTCAGCATGATTTGTACATGAAATAATTGAATCTGTATTGCCAGAGCACTTGTTGTTGCAAACTGTGGCAGATAGACAGTTATGAATATCATCTGTCCCGTTTCCAAATTCCAAACAGACTGACAGAGGAAGTGAGGGAGTAGACAATGAAGAGAAAGAGGAGCATTCACTGGAAATTACTCAGCTACAAGCTACAAATAAAAGAGCTCAATCTGTTCTCATTAAACCTACTCGGCCATAGCAGAATATTGGTGTGTTCTGCAAATCAATGTAATGAACATAATTCATGAAAAACTCTCTGAGCAGTTCAGCACAGTGGGACAACAAGCAATGACTATAACACTATTGTTTTACTGTGTCTAAATCATCTCACATCTCAATATGTCACTTCATAAATTCATTAGTTTACCCAAATGTTGAAATTCTATCATTATTCACTCTCATGTCGTTACAAATGTGTACCCTGCTATTTTTGTAGCAACTGATAGATGTGGTCACTATAAACGGCTGCTAAAAAAGCTCAAAAAACATTCTTGAAAAATTCTCCTTTTCTGTTCCATGGGAACAATGACAAAATTTTCATGGCTGAACTATTCCTTAAAAAATACAACATACATCTCCACTGATATACAGATGAGGCTGGAATACTGTATATGGGGTAATGATTCCATTTCAGGGACAAAGCCAGCACTAAATACAGCAATTCTGTAAGTATTTAGTGTCCATTTGTTTTTCCAGAGTCTATTGTATTACAGCGTACAGCGTACAGAGTCTACTGTATTACAGCGTATTTCATGTATTTCAAGGCTGTGATGCATTAAAACTCATCCTGAACACAGACTTTTTCATCAGATCTATATAAAATAAATACCCTGCCAGCTTTTGTCTGAGCAAGACAAGTTCTAAATGATGGATGGATGTTCTGTGAAATGAGTGAGAGTCCAGGACTTTTACAGTGTGGAGGAAGAGTTCAATGTTCGAACTGAAGAGGATTGTCCCCCACTGAAAGTTTAGGGACCCTCCATAAAAAAGACCCATTCCTTTAACTGGAAAAAAATCTAATTATTGACATAACATGATTTTTGTTTGCCCAACATTTACTTGATCACTGGTGCAAACCTAAACTCTTCCATTCCTCCTTTTGTTCTCCTCAGCAAAGCAAAAATTATAAAGAGAGATAAGTTATCGATGTGTGTCTGTTTCTTCCTCTCTGTGCAAATGTTCTTCATGCAGTGGAGTCAGCAGCCAGAATGCACTATATCTCACTGGAGTAGAGAGAGGGATAGTGAAAGAGAGAGAGGGTGATTTATAAGCTGCAGGAAATAAACGGCTGCTAAAAAAGCTCAAAAAACATTCTTGAAAAATTCTCCTTTTCTGTTCCATGGGAACAATGACAAAATTTTCATGGCTGAACTATTCCTTAAAAAATACAACATACATCTCCACTGATATACAGATGAGGCTGGAATACTGTATATGGGGTAATGATTCCATTTCAGGGACAAAGCCAGCACTAAATACAGCAATTCTGTAAGTATTTAGTGTCCATTTGTTTTTCCAGAGTCTATTGTATTACAGCGTACAGCGTACAGAGTCTACTGTATTACAGCGTATTTCATGTATTTCAAGGCTGTGATGCATTAAATCTCATCCTGAACACAGACTTTTTCATCAGATCTATATAAAATAAATACCCTGCCAGCTTTTGTCTGAGCAAGACAAGTTCTAAATGATGGATGGATGTTCTGTGAAATGAGTGAGAGTCCAGGACTTTTACAGTGTGGAGGAAGAGTTCAATGTTCGAACTGAAGAGGATTGTCCCCCACTGAAAGTTTAGGGACCCTCCATAAAAAAGACCCATTCCTTTCACTGGAAAAAAATCTAATTATTGACATAACATGATTTTTTTTGCCCAACATTTACTTGATCACTGGTGCAAACCTAAACTCTTCCATTCCTCCTTTTGTTCTCCTCAGCAAAGCAAAAATAATAAAGAGAGATAAGTTATCGATGTGTGTCTGTTTCTTCCTCTCTGTGCAAATGTTCTTCATGCAGTGGAGTCAGCAGCCAGAATGCACTATATCTCACTGGAGTAGAGAGAGGGATAGTGAAAGAGAGAGAGGGTGATTTATAAGCTGCAGGAACTCAAGGATCTTTCATTTACTCACAGAGGGGAAACCGCTGGCATTCTTCTACCAACATTTCGTCCCCTTTATCACACTCTCCAATGCTCCGCTGCGCTCTGCATCCCTTTATTCTGACTATTCCTCCACTCTCTGCACCATTACACCACTTTCTCCACCACTCTGTCGTCCCTCCATCCCACTTTCCTCTAATAGCCCTCTACATGACTTTATACTTTATTAATCCTTTGGGGACAATCAACACTAAAATTATACATGTAGCACACAAATGTACAAGAGCATATGCAGTATTGTTAAACAGCTGACAGGACAAAACATTAAAATAAACACAACGAGACATGCATTACATGTTCATATGCATTTTCAGAATGGACCTAGACAGTTAACAGCACTAAAACATGACAAGAGTGCAATGGAATCTTAACTATACACATAAACTGTGTGCCAGAAAAATGTATTAAGACAATTAAGTTAAAATAAAAAAAATAAAACATAACAATTAACGTATTTAATTGCTATAAATCATAAATTCACTCAATTATTAAATATACTATTTAAAAAAAAGAAAAAGGCATTTCCGGTTCTAAGATGTTAGTGTCCATTGTAAAATGGTATGACTAAACCTCTGGTACATCACTTAATGTATGTGAAATTGAGGGGACTTCGTACACTAAAAATTACCTTAAGACAAGATGGATAAAATTAATTGTTACAGAAAATGCAACAATTTGGACACTTTGGGGCCGGTCTATGTGTTATGCAGTATATAAAGCAACTGCGTCCATTAAAAGAAAGCAAGTTTAATCTTGCTTCATTTTCCTTTATGCACTCAAATAAATCCCTATATACAAATGGGATTTTCATGTGTGACTTATTATGAGAGCTTGGATCTGTCCCAAATGAAGACTGAAACACCATAAGGAGCAATAACTGTGCTGGACTATAGACATGACCCATTTAAGTTCTTGTGAGACTTCTCACTAGGTCATTTTGTAGCTTTATTTCATCCTCTGGCTGTCTTTTTGTGTTCTTCAGGTGGGTCTAAATGAAACAACCATAAAAGACTCAGACAAAGTTATTATACCACAGGCAGGATTCAGGCCACTCCTTAAATATACAAACACACAGCACGTGCCTCACACATCCATCTGTCTACAACAGCTGCGCCGGACACCAGCAGTGGTGAGGCACAGATAAATGTGTCTGACGGACGTCCGCCACAGATCCAGGTGAGCCCAGCTCATCTCCAAGGGGAACGGACATTAATTAGGCCCAGTGTTGAACTACACAGATGGGACAGATGCCGAGCCATCAGTCAATTTTACCTCCAGTGCAGCTGAAGTTTAATCTACATGACTCTGAGTTCAGCAGACAGAGAAAGGGTTTTTGGTAAAGGGTAGGGCGGCTGCTTGAAGGGAAATGTGGTTCAGAAAAAAAGGAATTATGGAATGAGTTCAAAGGCCAGGAGTTTTGCCAGAAGCCCTATAAGCAAAAGAGCTAGGTAGATAGGAGGATCCAAAACTTTGTGGAAAATGTTCACTGAGGAACTGAGAAACAATATTTCTGTTTTTACTGTATCAAATAAATAGCTATAACATATCTCTAAAAGTGGGTAGTAAAATGATGAGCTGTCAACTTAACAAAAAGTAATTATTTTCCAGATAATATTTGTAAAAATAATTTTTGCTTCAGGACAGTGACAAAATAAAATCTCATTATTTACATTTTAAAAACAAAATGTTTTCTTTGTAATAGCATGATAAATATTTTTTTTCATATAGTAAAAATTGGTATTTGTACATGAAAATATATACAGATCATCACATACTATAGTCACGTAAATTCCTTATAGGTAAACAAACTTGCCCAATAAAGCTTTTGATTAAGACACACACACAAAAAAAGAGTAGACTGGTGTTTAGAGGAGTTCTTAAGTGGAACCTCAGGTCCACTGATGAGAGGTCCAATTGAAGAAGCACTAAAACCCAAACAATTATAAAGAGAGCAAAATAAAAAGCCTCTCTCAAAAAAGCAAGTAGGCAATCTTTCATCTCCTTATTGCAACCACCGCTCTCCATTAGAGCAGTACGGCAACAGTTGTGCGTCCCACAGAATACTGTTGAGCTCAGTAGATTTATGTGTTCTTGTAATACAGCAAAGTTCAAATCCAACTCAGGGAAACACTCATGATTTTTGGGGCCAATGATTGCAATATGCTATTAAATGGAAAAAAGTGGGACATTTCCCAGTAACTTCTGAGAAAACTACTGTAAGTGCAAGGGTTTTTGTTTTTTCATAAGCTGATAATATCAGCAAACAAAAGTGTCTAATCACAAACCAAATGTTCTCTTACCTCACTGTCTGCTGCCTGACAAATGCAAACATGTAACATAAATGTCATGGTTCTAGGGTGACATGAGGTGTCTCGTCTCCCCTCAACTTCCTAAATAAATACCAATATATTTAATATATAGCCATTTATACAGTGTACAAATGCTAAAAAAAACAATTAAATTAATTTAAAATTAGCTACTTTTATACTGCACTGATCATGAAAGAATGAAAACGTAATGATAACAGTACTACTACTACTGCTGCTGCTAATAATAATAATAATAATAATAATCTTCCTGGGGGTCCATAGATTCTTCTCTTGAGAAAAAGCAACTAACAGTGAGAAAAATATCATGATCAGCTAATGGCACCACAAAAACACAGTCCAAACCATTTGCAACTATCCTGAGCTGTGACGTCAGAGACAGCAGACAGGGAAAAACCTCTCCAAAAATCCACTGGCCACTGGTAAAACATTTACTAGGACTATAATACAATGAAATATCAACATATACTGAACGTAATTTTTGAATTATATATGTTTATATCTATAGATGTTTTACCTAATAATCTTTCCTCCCTGTCCAAAATCTTCACATTCCTGTCTTCAGATGAGTGATCCTAGTCATTTCAGTCCAGATACACCAGATCTTCTATCACCACCATCTTGAATAAATTCTACAAAACTCAATGTCATGTTGTCTCACTATCCTGCTAAATTATGATAACAAATGTCTGACTTTTTATCACCAGCAAAATCAACCCTTTTGTTAATATTTTTGCAATGCAACAAAGCGATGAGAATACAAATGTATGGTTGTGGACATGCAGAAGCACAGAGCTGCATTACCAAAAACGTGATGTAAAATATTTATCTGTCTCTGGTGGGGCATAGGTTGTTGCTGAAGCCCAATCACTGAATAACCCAAGAGACTGCAGAAGGAAGACTAGACTAGTAATATCATGTGAAATAAAAAAAAAAAAATCAAACACAAAGGGTTGATTATTACAAACAATTCATCTCAACAGATTAAAGCAGACTGATGCTATGATGAAGACACAGGCTTGTAATATTTTCCAAAAAGCCTACCCGGCCTGTTCTCCAGCTGTCTGGAGAAAGAGGAAACATCTTTCATCTTTCTGTCCATGGATTGATGCCAAAATGTTAAGAGCTCACTCAATCTTTTATGAGGCCAGCTTTGGATTTAGCGCCGCTTTGTTTCTACATCTTTCCGTTTGGCAGAGGGAACCTCAACCAATATACTCACACCACAAATTTAATTAGACGCACTCAATGCAGTCATGCCGAACCTCAGCAACACTTTTGGCCACTTGTGGCTATTCAAAAAAATAAAATCAGATGTCAACATGTCTGAAACAATTAGTTTGTTTTAAGAGAACAGGTGAAGAATATTTCCAGTCAAAACACAATGACTTGCAGTTTCAAACATGATTAGCTTTCCTGTCAGGTGTCAGGTGGCATGTAAATTTTGCACCCAGTAAATGAGCTGTTTTCAATGACATCATTGATGAATCACTGACTGACTGAATCACTGATTGACTGATGACTTCTAGCAACCTTATTAACAAATCGCTGCACACTGCTCCCATCCATAAAAGACACTACGGTGTAATTTAGACAGAAATAAGGACTTGTCTCAAGCAATCGGGTTGCATGTGAGTCGAGGCACAAATAATTGTAATAAAGTTAAAGTAGGCTCTCAAATAGTCTAATATTTGCCAAGTTCTCAAATTTTGACTCAAGATATTTTACCTTTAGTCTGCTGTACTCTGCAGCAGACCCTTGGTCCACTCCGGTTATATAGATGCCCAGAGCATACTCAGCACCTCCACGGATCATCAAACCCAGAGATCGCCCATCATCCAGTGAGATATTCACCTGAGGAGAGAACACACACATTTGTTACACACATCAGTTATTTCTCAGCACATAAAGACTCGTTCACCTAGATATCATACTATAGAGACTATTTAAAGTGTCTTTAAATAAACTGTGTCTAGCAAATACAAAAACGTCCAAACCGATTTAAAGGTGACAATTTAATTGATGTTCAATGAATAAAAAAACAGATATAATACAGATAAACAAATGATAAAGCTTCGCTTAATGAATATTAGATCTCTTTCTACGAAAGCGCTTTTTGTGATCACAGATCATAACCTAGACATGTTAAGTTTGACAGAAACCTGGCTAAAACCAGATACTTACATTACTTTGAAGGAGGTAGTGGGGGGGGGGGGGGGGGGGGGGGGGTCTAATGTTATTTCATGCATTCTAAATTATTAACACTGTTAAAGAGTTGGATTCTCATGCTAAACATGGCCAAAGTTTCAAAAAAACATATTACATATATGAGTTGTACGTATTACGGAGTATTTTTGTGCCTAATACACTCCTTCTGGGTTCCGATAATGGCATCATGAAGGGCGGAATTCCTTGTATGGGCACCAGAGCGAGAGCTTTAACGTGCTTCATTCAGGTTATGGAAGTCGTCGGCAGTGCTGCAGAGGAGTTCTGACTTTTCAGATGTCCCACAGATTCGTCATTTCGTCAAACCTCAAACATTAAACTAGTTAACCTTACTAGAGACATTATAAGGAGGGGAGACTTACTACTAGAATATATTTAAAGAGAAAAAAAGTAGCGCTAAATATGGCAGCTGTAGACCGACTTACAGCTAAATAAGCAAAGCAATGCTCAATATGGTGACTGTAAGAATGAAAAGGCTTACAGCTAAAAGAGCCAATCACCTGTTTGTTCAATCTAGAATATGCATAAGCATTATAGCTGAATCAAGCTGAAAATGTTTTTTTTTTGTGATTTGAGCTAAAGCAGCACAATATACAATATCAAACAATTTCAAATTGTGTCTGATTTTATTCCCGATTTATGGAAGTGTAGCAATTTTGGATATTTCAGTCATTCCCCATTCAAGTAGATTCGAATGTTTGATTGACTGGATATAGTTCCCAAGATGGCGGACTTTTTAAAAACTTTAGCGGACTTTTTAAAAACTTTTTCATGAAAAGATACAGGGAAAAAAAAGGTTTCCACAAAAAAATGAAGCAGCACAACTGTTTTCAACATTGATAATTAGAAGAAATTTCTTGAGCACCAAACCGGCATATTAGAATGATTTCTAAAGTATCACGTGACACCGAAGACTGGAGTAATGGCTGCTGAAAATTTAGCTTTGCCATCATTGGAATACATTACATTTTAAATATATTTTAAATTAGAAAACTGTTATTTTAATTTGTAATAATATTTGATCAAATAAATGCAGCCTTGGTGAGCATAAGAGACTTCTTTCAAAAACATACAGAAAATTCATACCAACTTTGAACGGTAGTTTATAGACAGAACATGATATCATTGTTGACAGATTTTATTATGGAAGGTTATTATGAAAATTTCACCATTCAAGTAAGTAGGAGCTGCTTGAAAATACCTGGAGGCGTTACCAAAATGGCCACGTCCATGATTTGCCTTAAAGGGATGCATCCACAGCCTCACAGAACTAAAACACCAGTTTGAACTAATTATTCAACACTCTTAAGAAAAATGGTTCTAAACAGTACCAGAAAAGGGTTCTTCAGCTTGTAACAATAGCAGAACCCTTTTTGGTGCTAAATAGAACCCTTTTTATAGGGTTCCATAAAGAACCATGCTTTGAAAGTGCTATATAGAACCTTAATGGTGCTATAAATAACCTTTTTAATGATAGTTTATTTTTATTAATATTAGTATATTTATATAATTAATATTAGTTTTATTAATATTATTTGAATAACTTATTTATTACTATTGTATTTTTACCCCTATCTGCCTGATCTTATAATATTTTATATTTATATCTATTAAGGTTTTCATAAAAACAACAACAGCATGTTGTGTCAATTAGGTATTTTTATTTTATTTTATGACATGTGAAATTGTAGCAAAAATGACAAGTGATTTTAACAACCGTTATTAGCAGAATACATTAATAAATGACAATTGACATTGAGCATAAATAAATACAGATGTAAAACAAAAATAGAAACAGAAAACAGTGAAATGAAGACCAAGTTCTAGTGAAATACTGTATTTTCACAATCCTCTATGATGCCTGTAAGCCCATCATTATGTGTATTTGTGACCCTGTCTGTGAAATTCAGGCTAAAGTCTCAAAATCTAATTATGAGATAACAAGCATCAAAATATGATTTCAATCTTTGACATGGCCTTACTCAGTTAATATCAAGGTTACATTTTCACAGTCCTTTATAATGTTCTTTACATTATAAAGGACGATTTTATGTAAAACAGTAAATCACAAACACACACACACAAAGACTTTAGCTGGGTTTTCACAGGCAGAAGAGTCACATTTTGGTGGGATTGAATGGCAGTTTCTCTCTGTAGATGATGAGGTTGCAACAAGCATCAAAATATGATTTCAATCTTTGACATGGCCTTACTCAGTTAATATCAAGGTTACATTTTCACAGAATGTTCTTTACATTATAAAGGACGATTTTATGTAAAACAGTAAATCACACACACACACACACACACAAAGACTTTAGCTGGGTTTTCACAGGCAGAAGAGTCACATTTTGGTGGGATTGAATGGCAGTTTCTCTCTGTAGATGATGAGGTTGTAAGATGTGACAGCATCTGAAATGCACAATTGAGTTTAGAGTTACAATGTGCCTCCTTCCATTTGTTTATGTAAAAACAATTGTTTATGAAGGCCAAAAGTAGTATGTGAGCACTTCACAATGTTATGTTTATGCATTAACCCAAGTAATAAAAAAAAAAAATAATAAATAAATCTTAACAATATGGACCATAAATTAAATATATTTGTTACTTAGTGGAGATGGAGAAAGAAGTATCCTTAACTGAACAGAGCTGGTCGCACTTACACTTACAGAGATAAATACATGATTGGTAGGAAACCAGTCACAGTTTAAAAGTTGAAAATAATAGACATTTTAAGAAAGAAATCATTTACCTGTTGAGAGTGTGTTGACAGTCTGTGTAGTTGGATGGCTGAAGTCCAAAAAATCAGTAATTCAGGGGGGAAATCAGAGGGAGGGGGATTTACATTAAAATAACAACAACAGCAATAACAGCAGCAACAACATATTGTGTGAATCAGGTACTTTTTTATTGACGTGAAATTGTAGCGATAATGTCAGTGCTCTTAACAACAGTTGACACTTGACATTGAACATGAATAAATACATAAAAAAGTGAAGACAAAGTTCCAGTTAAATATCTTTACAATCCTATATGATGCCTTTAAGTCCATCATTTTGGTGTGACTGAGTGGCAGTTTCACTCTGCAGATGGTGAGGTTGTGGGATGTGATGCATCTGAAATACACAATTGAGTTTAGAGTTGTCCATTTGTTTATGTAAAAACTATAATGTTTATGAAGGCCAAAAGCAAAAATGGACAGAATGTGAGCCCTTCAAAATGTCAAAAGAAAAAAGTGATATAAAGTCATGGGATAGCTTTAATATTTTTTTGTGACTAGGTATGTTTATGCATAAACGTTAATTATATTAAATTTACATTTAATTATTTAGCAGACACTTCTATTCAAAGCGACTTAATGAGGGTAATAGAAGCAATCAACATGACAAAAGAGCAACAATATAATTGTTGTGACAAATCCCGGTTAGTTTAACACAGTACACATAGCAAGGTTTTTTATTTTATTTTTTATAATAGATAAACAGAATAAAAAGTAGATATAATAGACAGAGCTAGTGTTAGAGGGTCAATTATTATTATTTTTTATAATAATTCAAGAGAAAACAAGCAGATAGAATAGAAATAGAATAGAGTTCTAGTGTTAAATTAAATAAAAAAAATTCTAACAATATGTATTATAAATTCAGTGTCTCTGTTACTTACTTAGTGGAGAAGGATCCTCAGCTTAACAGAGCTGCTCACACTTACATATGACCAAAAAACTAAAAAGAGAAAAGAACATGTTTGTTTGGATCCCAGTTACAATTTTAAAGTTAAATTTGTATTTAAATTAAAGAATGAAATCATTTACCTGTTGAGAGTGTGTTGACAGTCTGTAGTTGGATCACTGAGCTCCAGAAAATCAGTAATGAGGAGTTTTAACGGTTACAGATTTAAAAAACAAAAAGGGCGGGGAAAAATAACCCTAAACTCTTAACACAAAGAACCATTTCAGCATAAAAGGGTTCTTCAGGATGCTATGGATCTAAATAGAACTGTTACTCCATGTAAAGAACCTTTAAAGAACCATCTTTTTTTAGAGTGAAGCTTCAGCAAGAAAGTAACACTCAAGAAACAAAAAAACATGGAGATGTAGGCAGATAGGAAAGAGAGTGAGAGTGAAAATGAGGGCATCTGACAGAGCTTTAGTGAATAAACCATAAGCCAGTGTCTCTTCATCACAGAGGCAAAGGACACACCTGACATTTCTGTGCTGAGCCTCAGCAGACGTAGCCCTCCTCTTCCAATAAGAACGTGTAGCAATCATATTCCACACTCCTTCCTGACCAGACGCCAAATGAGACCTGTGCTGACCTGGATATAATGAGTGGTGACACAGTCGGCGATGACTAAACAATGGCCTCACAGCCTTTAACATGGACGGGTCGGCTTATTCATTCTAAGCAATGCAAATCTGCCACCACAGTCACAAACACTAAAAGCTGACAATAAAAGAATTTTAAAATGAAAATGGTGGAAAGGTTATAACCAAAAGGGTCAAGGTTTGGCTAGTTAGCATAACCCTGTTTGCCTCTGTTGGTAGATGCTGTAACGACACCATTATAGTGCTAAAAGGTATCTTTCTTCATTGAAATCCATTCACAATTTACTGTGTATTCTTATTAATCAAAATGTGTACTCCTAAGTATATATTATACACAAAGATGACACACAATTGTATTTATATTTTTCCAGTCTGCCACCTTTTATTCACAGTCACTATTGAAGGGACTATGTTAAGTGCCCCATCAGCCAATCAGTATTGTTGTGATGTCATTTTTACCTGTAGCTCCAGAGTTATTATGCTGCCTTCAGGTGCATCAGGGAAACTTGTAGCAATAATACCCAACTCATAGGTACAGGTCATGTCACACATTCAAGTCAAAAGATAACACAAAAGTAGCCTAAACAAAACAAAGGAATATTGTTTATTGTGAACAATACACCCAAAAATAACTACAACTGAATGCAAAATGATTCAAAATGATTAATTTCTATTATTTATTTTCACATGGTATCAAACGTGTTTGTGAAACATGAAGTAAACCATGAATGATGAGTATGTAACTTCAGGTGTTTTGTACATCACATCTTTTGAAAAACTCAAAACACAATCATTATAATTCACTACAGAGTTGATAACTGCTCACTGATACTATATAGAGATTATAGATAATTGATATCATCTACATTAAAGATAACTTTTTCTGCAAGGTTTAAATAGTTATCCAATATGGTTTTGTTTGATCGTTCATGTGTTCTGAACTTACAATATTTTACTTGACTTGAAGGGCAAATTAGTCACGTGGAATTTATGGCTCAGATATAGATCTGTGGTCTCATGAGCAAAGATGGCAGATTTCAAGTCGAGTACTTCCATAGTACTTCCAGACTATAGAGCTATAAAATTAATACAAAATGTGGATAAGATAGCTCAGAACATTTTTTTATCTTTGTAAGAATGTAATAAGAAATGTTCATATTTAAATCTCTTGCTATTGATCACAGACATGGTATCTAGAAGAGACACATGTGAGACTTCTGAGAAATCTGAGATAAACGAGACAAAAGTACTAATAAAAATAGGAAAAATATCAAAAAGATCTCATTTGTGATATTACATTTTCAAAAAAATGATGATATCCCAGAGATTATCAATTAAGGACTCAATTGCAGGAGAAATGGTTATTTATTTTAATAAAAATGAAACAAAACTCAAACCACCCCGAGGGGGAAAAACAGACAGGCAGGCTCAAAACGGCACTCCATGCAGACATATAACACACACAATGAGAAATGACAGATCAGCACAGGACGACAGACACAAGGAGAATAAATAGGAACCAAACGAGGAGGCTAACGAGGGAGACACAGGTGGAGCAACTTAAACAATAACGAGGTAACAAGATGGGAGGGGCCAGACAATAGACAGGAGAGAGCACATGGCAACAGACAAACACAACACAAGCCATGTGCTCCCAGAACACAGTCATCTGGTGGCCCTCCTGGGCACACCCGCTGAAGACTGTGACAGTTTTTGGATGTAAAACATCACAACTGCAAATTAATGGAATCTACAAACAAACCAGCTGTTAATATAGCACAACTGTACAGGTATCCCATAATACTTTACATACTGCAATCATAAAACACTTTGAATTTTATAGGTGACTTTTCAGGTTAAAGTGAAAAGAAATACCATAAAAAACATTATAATTCAGTTTTACGAGGATTAATAATTAAACACAATGTTTATCTGTCACAGTTTCAGCGTCCTACACCACAGGGGTCTGTGGACAGTTTTGGAACAGCCCGTAAAAGCTTTGCAATATGTGCACTACCCCCTGAAGACTTCAGACCTAGAAACACCATTAAACAGTAAAAAGTAGGTCTGAAGTACACCATTGAAAAAAATGTCAAGAAAAGACAATTTTCACTCTTTAACGTGAGAAAACTTTGGAACATACGTCTCAGCCTTCCCTCTGTCAGATTAGCTTATCGCTAAAACACACTGATGATACTAAATATCTTACATAAAGATCTTTAGGGACATCAGAGCACTAAACTTGCCATAAAAGAGCAAAACTTAAAACATTCCGCCTCTTGTGATAAATCAAGCTCGTGCTTTTCATTCTTTCCTCTCGGTTTCATTTCTGTACCTCAGCTCTTTTGTCAAGCCCTCACTGCTTTATATGTTCCCTTTCAAGCAGTCTCTCCCATTGCGTTGACATACTTATGGGTAAACTCCTTTTTACTCTGATACTGAAGCCTGATTTGTTCACGTTCGTGTAGCTGCACAAACCAATGGCGCTTCAACTCTGCTGTGAGCACCATTTCGTCAGAATTTTTCTCCTTCAGTGACAAAGATCACTCGCAGGTCATGCGCCATTCCCTGCTTAAGCAGACAGAGGTTACTCACTCCAGTTCGCTCACAGGTCACCTCACTTCAGAGGCATTATTCAAACTTCGGTACAGGACAACAATGCTCACATTCTCCGGTCTGAAATGCAAACTCTACTTGCAAAAGGGCCCACAGAGACAGTTCCTCTAGCGAACAGCGAGTCAGGTTTTACAGCCGCTACTCCTCATTCCTAAGAAAAACCATGTGCTTATGAATCGTCCGTTCAAGATGTTAATTTAGAAGCAGATCCTTGTGCAAATAGCCTCAGGGAATGTTTTTTTATCAGTGGATCTGAAAGATGCTTACTTTCATATCTTACTTTACGAAGTGCATAGACAAGGCTCTTCCCCCTCTGAGACAGATGGGAATCTGCTTTATGAATTTCCTAGACGACTGGCTAGGAAATGCTAAATACTGTATTTAGGGTTTTTGTTAAATGTGAGCCAAAATCATCACAATTAAAAGAACCAAAAACTTAAACTACTTCAGTCTGTGTGCATTGAATTTATTTAATACACGAGTTTCACAATTTGAGTTGAACTTTTCCTCGACATTCTAATTTATTGAGATGCACCTGTATTTAGCATCTTTGTTTGGATCATTATTAAAATGCAGTGGTTTCCTCTGATTTTAAATGGAAAAAGCACAGCAAAAGCCTTAGTTTGTTTATATGAAGAGATTTATTTTATTTGTATTATTTAATTATTTGATTTGGGATCTGTTAAAAAAATAAAGTTAGTTTTATTATTTGACATTTTAATTTCACAAAGAAATGTGAAGCATTTTGTTGGAGAAATAATAAAAGGACACCTTTTCATTTATAATTTGTCTTAAATCTCATTTTGTTAAAAATAAAAATTGTGAGAAAATTGTATTGTGAAATCAGTATCGTGAATCGTTGCATCGCGAGTTGAGTGAATCGTTACATCCCTATATGCTACTAGTTTTGCTGTGGTATCAAATAAATATTTGGTTATAAATAAATAAATAAAGAACCATATTTTTTTTGTCATCTGCAAAATGATCCGATCTGTTACTCAAAATCTGATATGATAATGCAATATGATCCGAGCCGTGGGTTTTGTGATTGGTTGCACCTAGGGCTGCAAGATAAATCGCATGCGATATTTAACGCGCATCTTATCAGTAAAGCCGGTTCTGTAATCAGTGGTAAATCTCCATCACCTGCTGGGCTTTCACATTGCGCAGCATTAACTACACAGAGCCTTTGTTCACTGACGAGCTGCGCAAAACCACGTTCATATTCGCGCGATTTTTTGTGCAGCTTGTCAGTGAACAACGGCTCTGTGTAGTTAATGCTGCGCAATGTGAAAGCCCAGCAGGTGATGGAGATTTACCACTGATTACAGAACCGGCTTTACTGATAAGATGCGCGTTAAATATCGCATGCGATTTATCGTGCAGCCCTAGTTGCACTCCTACTCTTTTGTCTTGTTATTTGAAGAAAAAAAGCAATCACTGAAGTTTTTAATCATGCTGATTTGTCCGCAGTGAAGTTCAGCCGATGTTTTTTTTAAATTTTTTTTTTTATTCAGACTACTTAAATTAATTTTCGGCTACCAAAATCTGAGGAATGTCTGCCCGAAGGTCTACCAGCGATTTTGAAATTTTGCGAGCCCTGGGTGCATGTAAACGTATGACAGGTACAGATCAAATTATCAACTGGCAAGACTTTTGCAATAACATTTATTCAATTTCCTGCAATACCAAAATTCAATGATTCAATATAAGATCATTCATAGAACTCATATCACAACATACAAATTGCAGTGCATAGGATATATTAAAAATAACAATTGTCCAGCCTCCACTGATGATTATTTTCATGCACTCTGGCGGTGTCCACAAGTTCATTAAATTTTATTCAATTTGGTCTGAGGTCATGAGCAGGCTGTCAGATATCCTTGGGCTCAGCATCCCAGTTTGTCTCAAAATAGCTTTACTGGGAGACATACCTACACTACATATTTCTAATCATTTTAAACCATTTTTATTAATTTCACTGACAGTAGCAAAGAAAGAAACTTATAGTCATGAATCTGGTCCGTGGCCTTCCGGCTGATTGCCACCAGAGGTCGCTCTCCCATTACATTGACTCTCACACCACACAGACTGTTACACATCACCCTGGACTGCATTTCCCATCAACCATTGCACTGATTACACACACACAGCTGAATCCAATCAGACATGCTACATAAGCCATGGACTTCCTCTCTCTCACTGCCGAGTATTGTTCTGCGTTTAGCACTTCCCAAGTGTTAGCTACTTTGCCGAGCAATTCCGTGTTTCTGTTTAGTCTCTAGTTTTGTTTAGCATTTATCTCTCCTCAAGCGATAGCTACATTACTGAGCCATTCCTTTTCCCATTTTTAGTTTGTCTGGTCTAGTCTTTCCGTGTTGCCTTGTTGTCTGTTTCCTGACCTTCTGCCTGTGTTTACTGGATTACCCCTCTTGTCAAGCCCTCTGGATACTGTTTGCTGATCTTAGACCCATGCTAGCCCAAGGAATATTCTCTGTCTTGCTTGTGCCATACCTGTTTGCTGTTGATCGACCCTGCCTGTGTTTGACCACTTCTCTTGTGAAATAAAGCTTGCACATGGATCCGCACGCCTCGTCTCGTCAGCCCCGTTACACTTATGAGGAACATTTTGTATCCTTTTATATAACTTATGTAGTTTTTTTTATCCTGTTAGCTTATGTGGATCCCTTTTATTATCAAAATTTGTAGCATTTTTGTTTCTCTTCTCTCTTTCAATGTGTATACCTATTTGAATCCTATCATTTAAGCTTTTATTCTCTATCCTTATTTACATTTAATTTACATTAAGTTATTATATGTACTATTTTTTTCTACACTTCCATTGTTGCCATTACTGTTATCATAGCTATTTTTTTTTTTCTTTTCCAAATCTTTTACTATTAATTTGCATTAATTTATTAAAT